TTTGCTTATATAATTTTTTTCAGTGTATATATATATATATATATATATATATATATATATATATATATGCTTTATAGACTGATAAGTTGAGAGTGACTCTTGAAGGACCACATCCTCTTGTACCACTGTTTGAAGAATTTATCTTCCAGAATCTGGCAGTAAGATTTGGGAGTTCATTTTTAGTCCATCTTGAGATTTTATCTGTAGAAGATAACTTGCTTAATAATTATGCACACCTGAATATAAGGTTTTTCACTTCCAGCCTTCATGAACAATAATATATAGGTTATAAGTGATTAATTACAAGATTAATAGTAGTTATTAAGATTGATGTTGTTGGGAATTGGTAAAATGTGCTTGGAAAAAATATAATCAGAATATCAACTTGCATAATAATTATGCATGCACTGTATTTTCCCTCTCCGCTGTCATCAGAAATGCAAGGAATGTTGTGATTGGTTGGAATTATGGCATATTGTAACTGGGTTGTGTTGCGCAAGCCAGCCGCCAGCATTTAGAGAGCACTGAAGGCAGGCATCAAGGGAGCAAGCTAGTAAAACATTGCACGCGCAAAAGAGAAGGTCTGCACACATCCAAAAACTTATTTTAAATGCAAAATTGATTTTAGTGCGCTCAAAATACTTTTTTCTTTGCGAAACGAAAATTTTCTCCACAAAACTCTGATCGTGCACGTGCAAAATGCACTTTTGTGCGCTCAAAATATGATCTTTCGCGTGCAGAATTGTGGCAGAGATCTAACCCTATAGAAACGTACCTTTTCGAAGCTTCAAATCAATTGAACCAATTGCAAAGGGATTTGTGGAAACTGTGGTTCCTAATTATTGTGAGCCAACATTTGCCTCGCATTTCAGGATGAAAAGACAAACATTTCAGGTGAAGGATAATCCACTTCTTACCTCCGAGACTGTGTTATGATCTATATGGCCTTATTATTTTTATTGTGAGTATTAGGCTTATCATTATTGCTGATCACTGTTGTTGTGCTATATTATTGTAATATTTACCATTATATAATCAGAGGAATATAGAAAAGTTTATGAAAGTGTCACTCCACAATACAATAGCAAAATATATAAACATGTATTGTATTTTTATGTTATATTAATCAGTGTCTAGCACACCTTCCTAAGGAAAGGATATGGACCAGAAGACATTGCAATTACTAAAGGATATTTAGACAGACTTAAAGAAGTTCCAGATCTATTGTGCTCTTATTATTTCAGTTATTTTGCCTTTAATGTAAATAAACATGTGCAAACAATATACTTGCTCTTGTGAATTTATTTTGATGTTAATTACATTGTCTCTTTAATACCGCGATTGGGCTGACATTTTTGAGACACCCACCACACAAGAGAAAACTTATCACAAACCCCGTTGCACGCCTTTGCACACCGTTTCCAGGAAGCATGTCGTTCAAACCGGAAACCGTAGCAAAACGTTGCGCACCGGTTTGAGCTTGAACTTGCCCCAGGTAAAAACCATAGACGCTGGTTCAATGTTCGCTGGGAGGCGATCTCAATAAACTCGCACGATTCACTGGTTCACAGAGATCGCCCCCCAATGGAAAGCCATTGGAATTTCGAAACATTTATGACGTATGAAGCCTCGTTTACTAAAATCACTTGACTTTGGCAGTTCCGCTGTCATCAGAAATGCAAGGAATGTTGTGATTGGTTGGAATTATGGCATATTGTAACTGGGTTGTGTTGCGCAAGCCAGCCGCCAGCATTTAGAGAGCACTGAAGGCAGGCATCAAGGGAGCAAGCTAGTAAAACATTGCACGCGCAAAAGAGAAGGTCTGCACACATCCAAAAACTTATTTTAAATGCAAAATTGATTTTAGTGCGCTCAAAATACTTTTTTCTTTGCGAAACGAAAATTTTCTCCACAAAACTCTGATCGTGCACGTGCAAAATGCACTTTTGTGCGCTCAAAATATGATCTTTCGCGTGCAGAATTGTGGCAGAGATCTAACCCTATAGAAACGTACCTTTTCGAAGCTTCAAATCAATTGAACCAATTGCAAAGGGATTTGTGGAAACTGTGGTTCCTAATTATTGTGAGCCAACATTTGCCTCGCATTTCAGGATGAAAAGACAAACATTTCAGGTGAAGGATAATCCACTTCTTACCTCCGAGACTGTGTTATGATCTATATGGCCTTATTATTTTTATTGTGAGTATTAGGCTTATCATTATTGCTGATCACTGTTGTTGTGCTATATTATTGTAATATTTACCATTATATAATCAGAGGAATATAGAAAAGTTTATAAAAGTGTCACTCCACAATACAATAGCAAAATATATAAACATGTATTGTATTTTTATGTTATATTAATCAGTGTCTAGCACACCTTCCTAAGGAAAGGATATGGACCAGAAGACATTGCAATTACTAAAGGATATTTAGACAGACTTAAAGAAGTTCCAGATCTATTGTGCTCTTATTATTTCAGTTATTTTGCCTTTAATGTAAATAAACATGTGCAAACAATATACTTGCTCTTGTGAATTTATTTTGATGTTAATTACATTGTCTCTTTAATACCGCGATTGGGCTGACATTTTTGAGACACCCACCACACCACCACACAATTATCACAAACCCCGTTGCACGCCTTTGCACACCGTTTCCAGGAAGCATGTCGTTCAAACCGGAAACCGTGAAACCGTATTGCGCACCGGTTTGA